GTCGGGTTCATTTTTAATTTTACGCAATCCGAATGAATATCAGTACAACTATCGGTCTTACAATTATCTCCGGAACTATCTGTAGCGTAATGCGATTCAACTTTTCGAAAATTCGTAAAATTCATTGACTTACATTAATACTATGAACCGTATGGCGCAGAATTGTTGAAGTTTTGTCGTTGATGATGCCGTTGTCGGCATCATCGTCGTTGAGTAGCCTTTTAACGTGTTAGCTTTCCACGAAATCTCGTTGTCCAATCCTATTAGCTGCTCGAACGTTGACTGCTATGTTCTCTCAGGAAGTATTCTAATGTCCTTACGCCTTTTTCTCCGGAGTGGACCACAAGTCACTCGTCGGAGGTTGATCGGTCGATGGACAGGATCTCAGCAGTTGCAATTTCGATTTCTTCCAAATTCGTCGAGTGCGAGAACGTTGCAGCTGATCTTGATTCTTCTGCTTCGCTATTTTAGATAATTAGCGAAGTTTGCTTGATACCAAGCTTTCTTCAGCTGAACTTGTTGCTACTCGGTCCGCTCTAAGAGTGATTTCTCTTCTTCTCGATAACTTAATTCCGATGTCTTCGTATTCTCTTCACGTGTTTCACTATTATTCTCAATTGCTTCTTAGGGATAAATAATATCCTACCGCTGCCACCAGTTGTTACGTTCCGACGTTACGTTCGAAACGTAATGATTATAATAATTTCTTTGTGAATAGGAGAGAGACATCTTTTATAGAGAGACGAGTTTATTCGAATATATGTATTTAAATAATAAATTTTAGATGAATGGTTCACTTTAGTCGCTTTGTGAAAAGAAGAATCCTCTTTCTGTAAAAGGCTTCGCTTAGAATATGAGACTATGGGAAAAATCACTTTATAAATAGAACTTTTTTTAGGCGATCAATCTGTTCATACGTAAAACAAACTTAATTTTGGAAATATTAGCTCTGTTATTCCGCAGAATGCAAATTCTCTCACGTATCTGGAGCTAATTTAAGTTTGCGAAGCCAATTCATTAATTTTGCCAGAATAACTGATTACTCTGACTATTATTGTCATATCCGCGGATTGGACCTCACCTTATCCGAAAACAGCACCCAAAGAAAAGTATTCTATTTGTAAAGTGGTTTCTCCCATAGTCTCATATTCTAAGTGAAGCCTTTTGCAGAAAAAGGATTCCTCTTTCGATAAAGCGATTAAAGTGAACCATTTATCTAAAATTTACTAGATGTTATTCTGTTTTTCTCTTATTTCAAGAAGATTTCTTCTTATATCAATTAATTTTCCTCTTGTATGAAGAGGAATATTGATTTGAATGTCGACTTCTTTTGTTCAGTTATGCTCTATCTCCAGACATGAACGAAAAATAATGCTCATGGGTCAGAATATTTGGAACGTTTTTCAGAAAAGGTATGTGTGTTGCTGTAACATATAACGAAGATAATTTATCTATATTTAGCCAAATACAGTTTATAATCTATTGCAAGAAGTTGAATAATATATTCTTTCTTTTAACCGTGTTTCATACAATTGGTTATGATGGACATCTTTGTAGCTATGAAGTCCATAACCAAACTGATTGGAAATTTATTTGTCATGATGATCTTATTTAATTTGTGCCTACTTATTGTAGAATAGAGGAGCCAGAAGTATATCTATGTATATATTATTCTTTGCTATACATTATAACGATTTTTTCAAATTAACTAGTGTAACCAGCAAGAATAAAGTACAGTAAAAATATAAAACAATCTTCTTAAAAAAATAATAATCCTCTTAAAAAAGATTAAATAACATATAAGAGAAAATTTATATGAAAATCAATAAGATTTGCATTATACATACGTATTGCATTATACGTAACGTATAATCCTCCTAATTTTAAGAATAATGTGTTTATAATATTTTCCTCTTAATTTTAGAGGAATCCTTTTGAGGCCATATATAAGAATAAAATCCCCTAAAATTTAAATGCTTCCGCTTGTTCTGGAACAACTTTTTTTTGGGTGAGACGTAGCGAAATAATACATTCACGAGCTTCGTATCGCATCGTAGACCTATTGATTCTTCGCAGGCGCAGCCATCGCCTCGTCGACGATACACATATCGGAAAAATAGATATCGAATTTCTGCGGACACTCTGCTGGTATTAATAAAGTTTCACCAATACATGTATGTGTGCATCATTGCGCTTGCAACTTGCAGATGAACGACTCTCGACGGGCTTTTCTTCCGATTCAATCATTTCGACGCAATATACAAAAATGATCCTTTTTTGACTGTGTACAAATGCCTGCCTAATTGCGATTCGAGCGGCTTTTTAGGGAAAAAAATATTCTATGATTGGACAACTCTTGCTTGCCTATAAAACCCTTTAAACGTTTCGCTCATGAGAAACTAATCACTAGCTGTGCGGCTCGAGATCACAGGACTGCTTAGCTTATTCCAAATGAAAATTTCTACTTACTCCTAATAAAATCGGGAGGGAAGAGAAAGGACTAAGAAGAATCTTCTTAGAAGAATAAAACGAGATGTGATGGGGAAGAAGTATACACAGAATGTATTTGGACGGGATAATATTATATTTAATGGAATAATTACTAATAAAATTAGCGAAACTCATGTAGCGCCCCAAGTGGAAAAAATTAATTAATCATTAGAACATGATATTTTATTTAAAAAAAAATATATTCGCGGAGGAATTAACATTATTTTAATTTATATCTTACTCGAAAGAAGAAGCAACGCTCCAAACACTTGGCGACTTTATAATTAACCTCCTTTCTGTTTAATAATAATAAATACTGATTTTTTTCGATGTTTTACTTTTCAATTCCTCATTGATGGGTTTTCGAACTTTTTGTTTTACGGTATATAACTCAATAGAATATATTATTTATTAGAGCGGCTTTCGACAAATTCTAATTAAGCTAATTGATAATCATCCGCAAAATTACCAACAGCGATTCGCGGTTTATGTAATCTGCCTCACAACGGTAACAAATAAATCAGTAATCCTCTTTGTACATTAGCAAGACAGAACATAAAACAGATAAAAACGTAAGTGGCAGTAATTTTAAATATAAGTTTTTAAAAAGGGGATGATATTATATATTCTTCGCAAGTCAGATAGCTGAATTAATCAGAATTTCACATAATTTGCCCTTGGATACATTATCGATCAGCTGTTATTCGGTAATTTCATCAATTCTGTCGTATCGTTTGACTTTTATCTAGCTTTAGTTTTTACGCTTTTAATACACGCGAATCGATTGTACGGTTTTTTTCTGAATAATAATAATTGAGTATTATCTATGTCATGAACAAGTTTTCTTATTGAATGATATAAAAATAAAACATACGGTAGGCAAATTAAAGTATACGCAATCTCCTATCAAGAATCCTAAAGTATCCTTGATATGTGAGATTAATGATTAACGTAGAATTCCAGGAGAAGAAGTTTGTTACGGGAAAGTTGATGAACCGAAAAGATTATATCCGACGCGCATCTAATTATTTAATAACTAGATTGATAATATGTTTATCGTTAACATTTTAGAGAAAGGTGCTGTTAGAATTTAAGGTCAAAGGGACCAGCACTGACGTCCGTCATCTTCAATCTACTGTTTTCAAAAATTGTTAGTGAGGAAAGCAGGAAGTCGCGCGACGTCGTGGTCGATCGATAGAAACTGAGTTCTCGATAGAAAGACAATATAAATATAATAAATAAGAAGGCTGAACGACTGATCCCGGATCATTTCTACAATTCTACAAGCAGACGATATCTGCGGGAAAAAAATGACACTGTCTCTCTCTCGATACGTCGAGTGTATAAGTATTATCCGCAACGCAACATGATGCAACTGTGATGCAACATGAAATATGTATGAAGCCATTTGCATTTTCTCAATTTTGCTGCAGTTTTACAGGCCGCCCGAAACGTGTAGTTAATTTTTTCAAAGCGAATATAGCTTTACCGTCTCGTTCTTTGCGTTGTCCCTTCAGCCGGAAATTGTATTAGAGCTGTGTTTCTTGCTTATTTAAGTGCAGCTGTGATTGTTCTGAGAATAGCCGAGAATTCCGAGAATAATAAAATCATCTAAAAGTAATGCCGTGCGCGCGACGACGAGGTACATCGTGTGAATTATGTAATAGTTGCTAAAGGATATTCTTACCAGAAGCAAACAGTAGAGAAAGAAGAAGAAGGGGTTGGGGAGGGGGAATGGTAGGACGAATCCCGAGATTAAAAAAGCATATTTTTTTCACGTTATTTCACCAGTAAAGAAAGATCCTTAAGGATAGTTTGATGGAATCAGGTGCGCGTGCTCTCCGTCGGGTTCCGCTGTCTGGCAAAATTGATCCGTGCTATCGCGGAACCGAACATATTTCATTCACTTCTTCATTACTGTTGATCTCGTTAATTAAACTGACCGTGGCGCACTCAGAATAATAAATGGTTGTTGAAGCTTGGGCCGAGATATATCGATTAGCAATGCGAAATAGCATATTCTGCCGCTCGCCTCTCCCCTCCCTCCCCCTCAAAAGTGATATCATTTAAACGATATTGCGGGTGATACCACATTTCCGGAAATACATAACGCCGCTAATAGCGTTTCATTATCTTTTTATTACCCTGATATGCACGTACACAACCTTGCTTACAGCCGCTCTCTTCTCCTCCCCTTTCGCCCTCGATACCGAAATCATCGCTGAAAACATCGCGCCCGTATCGTCCACGCTGTGTGCGTATCGTTCGTTCATTTTTTCCCCCCTCCCCGCATCTTGCCTCTCGTTTTTCGATTAACTGAGTCGGCCCCAGCGGCACCCTCCTCCGCGAAAGCTGCATGCAAGCTCGTTTTTATTCGCAAATTAAACGTCAAACGTTCTCTCTTAACGAGCGCATAGTCCAAAAAATAATCGAAATAGCTTTAAAAAAACAAAAATAGTTAAGAAATTTTTAGAAAAATCATTTTATTTATTCGAAATATTCTCCCTCAGCAGAAATACAACGATTTGCACGTTCAAGAAGTGCATCAAATGACTTTTTTATGTTGCTGATTGGAATGATGTTGAGATTGCTCTCCGTTGACCGTTGAATGTCTTCAATTGATGCAAAACGGTTTCCTTTTATCACCAAATGCAGATTAGAGAATAGAAAATAGTCACAGGATGCTAAATCGGGTGAACACGGGGAATGTTGAAGCAATAAAATTTGATTTTTGGTCAAAAAGTCAGTGACAATTGACAAACGATGAGAAGGTGCAACAATCACCAACTTCGACCGAGGTATCAAACTACTGTCACTTAAATGCGTCGTATCTTGGCTTCTAGTTAATTAAATGTCATGAAATTTTTACAGGTTATTAAGGAAGCTTGACACTTCTTAACTCAATCTCCCTCTAACAGAAGGTGCCACTAATTTTGTCGAAATAGAACCATTCCGGTTATTTTTGGGATACAGGATGTATATACACATATACATATATATCTTTTAAAGCTGAATGAGTCAACGAGAAATGGGGGAGAAGATAAATGTGATGTAATGGCGGCGGCTGTTGGAGAAAGGGAGATGCAATGAAGAGTGATGGATGAATTAAGGACGGACATCGATACCTTACGTTCAGCGAACATCCGCCGGGTTTGTGGACGAGTCTTCCGACTTGCGATCAATCGACCCTTTCTCTCGCTCTATCTCCTCCTCTGATTTTTTCTCGCTCTCGCTCTCTCGCTCTCTCTCGCTCTCGCTCTCTCGTTCTCTCTCGCTCTCGCTCTCTCGTTCTCTTTCTCTCTCTCTCTCTCTCTCTCTCTCTCTTTCTCTCTCAGCAAATAACCATGCACGCAATGACGTATTTTTTTTCCGTTTTATCGAACTGAATTCCTTCCACGCGATAGCTATCGAAATGGTTCTATTTGATAGGAGGGAATTTCCACTTGATTGATAACCGCGAAACCTGTCACTGATAACTGTAACTCTGACACTACAGGTGCTAATTGAAGTTTAGTGACGGAATTAGTCGTCTGCCTATGTCCGTCAATAGCGAAACTTTACACCGATAATTCGTCTTTTTAAAGACTTTCTCTTCCTCTTCTTTCTTCTCTCACGATCTGATTGTTCTGGATCGAAGTCAATCGGATTTTGACCACAAACTGCCATTTAATCGATTACAGAGAGTGTATAATTTTTACACATGTTTGAGACTGTTATCGATACCATCGTTGACAAACATTAGCATACTAATCGTATATGTAACGCGGCGACTGGGAAAGGGGACCGTGCGATATTTACCGCGCGTCCTAACGAGCAATTAGCGCGAGGCGAGGTTTCGTCTAGACGAAACGTGAACACCGTATTGCACTCGAGCAACGAGATGAGACGAAGCCGAAAAGCTCAAATAATACAATTCTCGCCCAACCTGGTTTCCGCGATCTTTCCGGTAAAATTGCGCCATGTGACTGATCGAGCGTCATTCGCAAAGTCGCTTTCGTCGATTTTCAGAATATTTCAACGGCCGGTGAAGGAGGACGCAAAAGGGAGACAGAAGTGTAGTTATTGCAACGTGAACGTGACCTAACGCGCAAATAATTGAAGCAACTGAAATTACCAGTGAGCTTTAATGGGGTTAAATTGCTCGCACACGGCGTGCGGTCACGTAGTTGGAAATATATGCGCATGTGCATATTCCGCGGAAAATTGATTTTCCTCGAAGGCGGAATACCTTGAGCGGCGTCATTATCGAGGATACGCTGCGTCCCCACACGCGTGCGCGGCATGAAATCGGCTGAATTTCCTGCACATACCGGATAAAAATACCGGATAAAAAATACCAAGATCGTATATTTTAACATTCTGCTGCTCGAGTTACGTCTCATTATTTATTTGTCCCGTGTCGCATTTGCACAGGCAGGGACATTATTTCGCACTCCCGTGTTATTTGCAACGCCAAAAAACGGTGTAATACATTCTTCGCTTCGAAGACACTTCCGCCTCGCTCTCCCTCTCCCCCCCTCTCTCTCTCTCTCTCTCCCCCCCTTTCTCCCTTTCTTTCACTTCCGTGTACAGGATGAAACAGCAACATACAGGTCAGTATGACGGGTTGCTTACCCCTATTTGGATAATAATGTAGAGGTTGCCGAAAAAGTTGCTCGTTGACTTTATTGATCATGATATTTGCAGTGTTCCTAGTTATGACAAATGCAACTAACTTTACACCGTGTTTGTTATGACAGTTTACCGACAGGAGTCGAGCCTCATTGAATTAGAAAAAATGTTTAAAAAGTGAAACTGAGAAATAAATATTATAGAATAAAGCAGAATAAGTAAGAGTGATATTTAAAGAGATAAATAATACAACATATTTCCTGATTTTGCATAATTTCTTAATTGTTTTCTCACGTTGAAAAGTTCGATAGGAATTGAAGATTAGAAAGGACGATACAAAAATATTTAAAGGTCTTACATTACTGTATTTCATCTATGTTTCTACGAAAGATCGCTTCTGCAAAAGTATGAATGGATTAGAAACGCAGTATAAATATTGGTTGCAATTTAATCGACCGCAACTATCAAGCGACATATTTTCGGTCCATTATAATCTTGTATCTTTTATCAAAAATAGGGCCTGTTTTTCGAAATTTTTTGCAGCTTGATAGTTGCGGTCGATTAAATTGCAACCAAAATGTATATTGCGTTTGTAATCTATTCATATCTTTGCAGAAGCGAATTTTTGTAGAAACATGGACGAAATACAATATATAAGACTTTTAAATATTTCTGTATCGTTCTTTCTAATCTCCAATTTCTATCGAACTTCCCAACGTGAGAAAACAATTAAGAAATTGCGAAACCAGGAAATATGTTGTATTATTTATCTCTTTAAATATCACTCTTACTTATTCTGCTTTATTCCGTAATATTTATTTCCGTAATATTTATTTCTCAGTTTCATTTTCCAAACATTTTTTCTAATTCAATGAAGCTCGACTCCTGTCGGTAAATGGTCGATAAACTGTCATAACGAACACGGTGCAAAGTTAATTGCATTTGTCATAACTGGGGACGCTGCAAACATTATCAACAAAGTCAACAAGTGACTTTTTTCGGAAACCTCTGCATTATCATGCGAATAGAGGCAAGCAACCTGTCATACTGACCTGTATGTTGCTGTTACACCCTGTACGTGCGACACGGAGAATTTACGTTGTTCGCCGTGCTCGCAATTTTATAATGTAAGAAATTGTAATTTCGGTTAGATAGAAAGAGAGATGTATATCAGGAGAACAGATGTATTAGGAAGAGATATGTAATAGAATTATGTTGTAATAGAGATATATTAGAGATATAATAGAGATAATAGAATTATGTTGTAATAGAGAGATGTTGTAATAGAGTAGAGAGAGGAACAGTTAGAGAAAAGAGGGGCATCGTTTTTAAGGTGCGCGCGAGATAGACATACAGCAGAGATAGAGAGCATAGACAGAGATACAGAGAGATACAGAGAGATACAGATAGAGATAGATAGAGAACGGTGAGATAGAAAATAGCGAGATAGATAGAGAGACAGACAGACGAAACAGAGAGAGACAGACAAAGGAGCGAGACAGATAAAGAGAAACAGCATAGAGAAGGAGCATTCAGAGAGAGAAAGAAAGAGGCAAGAAGGAAGGAAGTTGAGAAACAAGGATAGAGAGAAAGACGGAAGGATAGAAGAAAGGAATGAGATAGCTTGTACGATACTGTAAAAGGAAAAGATAAAGATATCGATCGGTGATCATAATTTGTAACGTATACGATCATCGCATAGATCTTGAATTATTTTTTAAATATACATGGTGTCCCATTTTAAAGTTTCCACTACAATATTTCTTTAAGAAAGCATTTAAGAAAAAAATTGTTTTGAACAAAAGTTGCTTAGTTTGAAGGGGGACATAAGACAGCGATAGCATTTTGTTTACAAATGACGCCACTTTCGAGATATTCACTGATCATCAATTTTCTTAAATAGAAATCCCAACTTTTTATTACATCATCTTTTTCTACCAATTAATTTCAACAACTTTTGTCTAAAACATTTTTTTATTTGCCTAATATGTGTTTAAATATTTAAGGATAATTTGGTAATAACTTTTTCAATATTTAACTTACAATATCTCGCTGTTTGTTGGAAGAAAAAATAGTATAGGACTTTCTTACTCTATTTAGTTTCAAGAATATATTGGTACAATAATGCTTTATTTTTTGTTAACTTATCGACCTTTCGAAATTTCAAAATCATCTAATTAACAAAAGGCAGGACGTTATTATAACAATATATTCTTGAGATTAAGTAGAGAAGAAAAGTCTAGTACCATTTTTTTTTTCAATAAACATTTAGCGAGATATCGTAAGTTAAATATTGAGAAAGTTACCAAGTTATCCTTAAATATCTCAAAAAATACTAGGCAAATAAAAAAATGTTTCAGACAAAAGTTGTTCAAATTAATTGGTGGAAAAAGACGATGTAATAAAAAATTGGAGTTTCCATTTAAGATTTTTATGTTGATCTTGACTGGGCTTTCCAAAGTCAAATTTATAGCGTCAGTAAGTAGATCCTTTAAAGCCCTACAACTTTTGTTGGAAACATTTTTCTCTAAAATGTCGCGTTTACGAAAAAATCGGGTGACCCGGGTCTAAAACACCCTATATATACGTGTTCTTGCTTTAATTATTACACGAATTGTTCATATCGGCATTCTGACACCATCCTGACACAATCCTGACAGTCTTTAGAACCCTACAATAATGTTATGCTCTTCTCGAATTGTTCTCGCTTTAATGGCTGTTTAATTATTCTGCCGGCGAACACGCGCCCATGCGCTGTCATTCGCACCGCGTGAGATACTCTGTTTCGGTCGAATAATCTGATGAGTGAAAATAACGAACATGGAGATGCTGAATGTACAAGACAGACGTCGATTACACGAAGGACACGTAGCATACGAAATATTGCGTTTCGACAAAGTAAAGTAGCACGTCCAGTCATGTTTCATAGGATTATGGAAAACCGTATGAGGTGGACTGCGAGAAAGGTTGCCCGAACACGTCGAGCGTGTAGAATTTGAATGTACGATTCTTTGTTCGTCTCTTTACTGTTCGTCCTTTGGGATACACGCGAGTAAATAACCGAAATAATAAAGAAGGATGAGGAAATGATACGCCTGACGCGGCGCAAAAAGTCGTCGAGTTGACGTTGTATCTGCCGGCGAAAACTTGCCGGAAAGGAAAAAGAAAAATAGCAAGAGAGAAGTATGCTTCACAAGAGATCTAAAATAACAGTTAACACGGAAAAAAATGGTTTGGTTGGTTGAACAAATCTATAGTTTGCTAAAAATATTAAACGTTGTAAATAAGCAGATTTGCTACTGCAGGAAAGAAGATGTGTACGAAAACAATCGTTAATTTATTCATAGAGTAAGCCCACTTTTGTTGAAAAGTATCTTTGTAGTTACTGTAACAAGTTACTTTTACTACGCTACATGCGGTTTGTAACTAGCGTCATTTGTTACTTTTACTACAATTATAGCTCTCACAGCTAGCGCGACGAGCGACACGATATTCAACACGTGATAGCCAAATGAACGTCATATGTCACATGTCCCATACGCGGCGTGCAACGAAGATTTCTGGATGATGTTCGCGCGCAGTTAGAGTCAATTGTTTTGGCAATCGCGTCAAGACGCAAGTATGTGCACGACAGAAAAGAAATGAGGTTAAATGAGTGAAATGAATGCCAGTATTTGCCATCTTTGAGTTTCCTTTTATAATACTGTAATCTCTCACTACTCCTTATTTCTAAAAGTAACTCATTATACATCTTTATTCCTGTGTAGAAAAAGCTTTTTGTGCAGTGCTAGTCCGATGAAATTGGATAGCAATATTATGAAGAATACAAATGTTCTGCATAAGAAGAAAATTAAAAACACCGCTGTGCAGTGTAAAAAATGCAAGAAACTATTCTTCCATCCTGGATGCGTAAGCAAGCATAGGATATACAATAATGCCCAAGAGCTTATAAAATGCGTGGGTCCATATGATGAAATAAAAGTTGAGAGAGAAAAAGAGGAAGGGAAAGAAGCAACCACAAGAGAGAGGATGGGTACTATAGGTGCCACGGGAAGTACGAGTAGACCGGCCACGACTGATATGAAGATTGATTGGTTGGTGAGGACAGTGAAGGGAATGAAAGATGAAGTTGCATGTAAAAAAGAAATCAAGGCAAGAATTAGAGAAATAGTGAACTAGAAGAAATCAAACTTGAACTAGAAAAGATGAAAAAAAACATGCAAGGAAGAATCGGAGAGACAACAGGTGATGGACGAAAGAGTTACGCGAGCGCAACCAGGGAGAAGAAGAAGAGTGTGATAGGTGGTCAAGCCAAAAACGTAACAGGAAAGTGAAACGACAAAGAAAGTAGTAAAAGAAAACATTAATATTACAAATATGGCAGTGGGAATAACAAAACTTAGAGAAAGAGAGAGAGAGAGCGCAATTCAACAGCTTTACAGTTACAATACTTGTTTACGTGCTACGATACGATTACGATTAAATAGTGCTATGTTATAGTCACAATTTTCTTCACGCTTCTTTACTTTCGTTAACAATATTAAAAATGTCTGAGATAAGGAAATTACTTGAACAATGGAATATCGCTGAAGATATTATTGAGAAGTTCGAAGATAAATAAAAGAACTTTTTTATGAAATTGTATCAAATATTTTTAAGTACATTTGTCTCCAGATGGTACGTAAATCTTTGAAAAAATATGTATGTATAAAATATGTATATGTATGTATGTCCTAGTAGAAATGCAGTTATATGCAGTTTTCGAACAGTTAGTGGACAATTATATTAGATTTGTTTAGCATAACTAAAGATATATCTTATTGTTTCATTGAATAGAATTCTATTGAACTCTTATCTAGGGAATCAATTGTATATTTTGCAATAAGATGAGAATTATGAGAAAGTAAAGAAATTCACTAGATGTCGATCGATGAAAATTGTTAATATTCTAATATATTCGCTTATTTAATTGTATGTAATATATAATTGTTATAATTTTTACCAAATTATATCTACACAATTGTTATGATGTATAAGTAATCATCAATTGTTTTTTGCTGTACTTGTTAACATAATTTATCAGATACACATTCATGATATTATGACTGATCTATTCCTTGTATTTATTTGTACTTACTTGTTGCATATCTAAAAATGCAACGTTTCTTCTAATTCCTACATACTATCTCATAATTAATAAGAATGTATAAATATTGAATGTTTAATATTGAATAAGTGGACGAGTGTCCATGTAAACTGCATATGTTTCTATTTGGGTTTAACAATTATTCATTAAATTTTTTCATTATTTTCATTATTAATGAATATTAATAAAATTATTAATAAAATAATTATCTGGAATAGTTAGTAAGAATGAAAAGTTAATCGCAAAAATGTATTAAGATTGTAATAACATATAGTTAAAAATTATGTAGGAAATGATATTACACCCAATATCTTACAATATTTGATCGATAATTATATAAAAGAATTAATACCTAAAATCAGAACATAAATTTTATTTCAACAAAAATTGCAGGAATTTTTGAATAAAAAATCTGAAGTATTATAAGAAACTGTATATATTATTAATTGTAATCTATATTTAATGTATCTCATGAAATTGTAAATATTAAATCATACTTTTTATTACAGCAGACAGAAAATTTGCAAGAAACACATGAACAAGATGTGTTTCATAATCATCAGAATAACAAAGAGAAAGTTATTGAAAAAATTCAGTACATACAAGTTGAAGAATTATTAACAGACAATTTATCTGATTTAAATTGTAATATGGAAATATGTTTTCAACATGAAAGTGAAAAGGTAAACGTTTAGTAATTATTATACAATTGGATTGCCGTTTACTATGGAAAAATCTCTCATGACCGATATTCCTAGTCGAATCTTGTATCAAAGATCATCTGAAGTTCCCCTTCAGATATTCTGTAAGTAATGAAATGATCCATACAGCATTGGAAAATGAATTTATGATGGTCCTGAATATAAGAAACAACTGACAACAATGAATACCAACCCTTCGTACGTTTTTTTGTAAATTCGAGATATTTGCGTCACTATATGCAGAATTGAAATCTGAATATGATGATATACATATTTTGAATTTACAAACAATGCACATAGGTTTTTCCATGGCAGTGATGACATTACAATTGTACTATTGTTTTGACAAGTATTATTATTCTATTTTTACTAAAATTTATTCTTGTATTTTTTATATTTTACAAAATGATTATTCAATTTCAACAGATAAAATACTAACATTTGCTGAAGTAGCTGAAGTACCCAAACAAAAGCAAAAATATATTGTACAGAATCTAATAGATACCATCTAGTAGATACCAAGAATTACACAATAAGATATTTGACACAATATTGGAGCAAAAGAAAACGGTAAATGATAACGTTGGACGACAGAATGATTATGAAAAGAAAAATAGAGCGTCGACGTCAAGATGTATAGATCAAGCGTTAAAAAATAATAATTCTGGTGACAATACATACGTAAATATGCAAAAAACTATTTTTATTTCAAAATTACGTAAAATATTAAAAAAAATTTTTTTGAGATCGATTTTATATTTATTTTATTTCAGGGTTTAGAATACATTTTGAAAGATGCAATTAAAGGAAATATCATATTATCTACATATGCATTTCAAGAAAAATTAGACGAAAAGATTAGAAATATATTGGCAGATATTATTGTGCATTATGAATTAAAAGATAACTTGGATGCTTGGTACGAAATACTTTGAAATTTACATTTATTTATCCCGCGTGTAAAATTATTCCGTATTAAAAATATTTGTTATGTTATAGAATTACTTCTGAACGTGTTCTGAACGAGTTTTATTGCAGACAAAATAATTGAACTATTTCCTAAAGAAGATAAAGTAAGTTTTTCTATTAAATGTATTGAATGTATAAATGTGTACAAATATTCTATATTTCATTATATATATATAAAATTTTATATGACTGTAAGGAGGGACTGTAAGGAGGTGTTCAAGAGGTGTCCAGTACATTTCTTCGAGTTTTTCCGGACATTTCTCTGCCTCAGTGAGGAGATGTGGGACCTACCTCGCTGACACCTTATGGTATCCAAGATATTCTGAGAGAATTGTGTGAACATTCTCAATACTTATGCCCACCTCCGATGGGATTTCGACAACAGTTAAGCGCCGGTCATCTTCCACAAGTTCGCGAACGGCCCGAATGTTCTCATTAGTGACATTTGTCCTCTTTCAAGCTAACATTGCAACCAAGGTTGTTATAATAGGCTCATTAGAAATATATATAAAGCGCAGTTTTGTCATTGTCGACAATCAGCATTATAAAGTTGAAATTCCTATAAAAGCTATTGACATAGCGCTCAAATGTATTCATAGTCTACAGGTTGAATATCCTAAAGAATGTGAACAACGAAACTTTTTTCTACAAACATGTATTTATGGTATTCATACAAAGTACGATAAAAAATTTAGTGCAGCACTTTGATCAAAGAATATGAACATTTTTTCTTTCTGCGAGTATTATTTTTCAGTTCTTCCTTTCTCCAGGTTTAAGTTATAAAATAGTGTTTATAATCTTTATGAAGCATCGTTTTATTAAAATTATTAAGAACACAACTTAAGTAATGCAAAATAAACATTTAATATTAATTAGGACATTCATTAATCAAAATGCCGATTTGTTTTAAATACAAGAAAGAACTTCGTAATGTTCAACTTTTGCGCATTCATTTCAAATTTAAACACAAAAGAATCGTACACTATAATTGTGCGGAAATGAATTGCTATAGAAAATTCAATATTTTTGAATTGTTAAAAAAGCATTTAATTTATCATCATAATATGCAACAACCACAAAGATTAACTATAAATCAGGACAAAGAATCAAATAACGACGATAATGTTCATTATGTAAGTAATGTAGTCCCCTATAACGATAATAATTTCTTGGAAATTGATAATTCTGATTTGCACATAGCTGTTTTTCATGACTCATTAAATAATGATAATACTATTAATTTTGAAGAACATACATTTGATAAAATTGCTTCTTTCTTCGCAAAATTATCATGTAATACGGTCTTTCTCGAAGTCATGTTCAAAATCTATATAAAGAGATTAAAACATTATTCTTTGATAATTATTTCAAAAAAATTGAAAATATCTTGAGTTCGGTTCAAAATTCAAATGTCAATAAAGTAGTTATGGACTAAACTCAATCATTTTGCAAAGATTATAAAAATTCTTTTGAATTTATGTCAACGTACAACGTACAACGGAGTATCGTAGAATTAAATATTTTACAAACTGTGAGCAAAATGTACCTCCGAAATCATATATTATTCGACCTGGAACTGAGCAAATTCTTAGTGAAACAGGACAATTTATTTCATTAAGATATATGTTGGAGCGTTTTTTTCCAAATTCCTCATGCTTTAGAAGATATACTTTCAAATTTTAATTTCTTAATAAGTTCTTCAAATAAGATATGTAGCTATGTACAAACTGATACGTGGAAACGTAAATTATTACTTTATAGATCAATTATTTTACTTTTAATGTTGTTTTCGATGATTTTGAATATAATAATCCGCTTGGTCCCAAGTCCGGTAAACTTGGTGTAGTTTACACACAGTTACTTTACCTTCCTTCGGAATGTCAATTCTCTTCTGATAATATATTTTTGATAATATTATAATTAATTTTTGAAAGTAATAATAGAAGAATTTTTAGTTTAACAGAAAAATATTTGCTCCCTTAATTGATGAACTGAATTTTTTGGCAAATGAAGGAATTTTGGTTACGACTAACTATGGAGAGATAAAAAATATATACTTTGTTAGGGAATTTTGTACTGGTGACAATTTAAGGATTAATTCAATTTTCCGTTCCGTAGAAAATTTTAATGCTCATCACTATTGTAGAGTTTGTAAAAATTCAAAACGAAATATGCAGATTCAATGCTAAGATGATATATCATATCAACGAAATCCGCAAAATTACGAAGAAGATGTCATTAAAGAGAACGAAACGTTAACAGGAATAAAAGAAAGAAGCATTTTTAATCAATTAGAAAATTTTCATGTGACTTTAAATTCTGCTTCAGATTCGATGTATGATTTCGCCGAAGGAATCTGTCATTATGATATGTGTCATATAATAAAACACTGTATAGAATATAATTATTTTTGTCTGGAACAACTAAATAGTCGAATGTCTGTATTTAATTATGGACCTATAGATAAATCGTCTGAACCTCCTTTTATTTTTAAAAACCACCTAGATAGCTTAACATTAGAAATGAGTGCTACTCAAACATTATGTTTTGTAAAATATTTTGGCCTTTTGATAGGTGATTTGATTCCTGAAAGCGATTCTTTTTGGTTGTTGTATAGACTTTTAAGAGAGATCCTTGACATTGTTTTTGTCAAAAATATGCACCAAAATTGTCTTAATATTTTGCAAGTACTTGTAAATGAATACCATAAGTTATATAATATATTGTAAGTTATATAATATAAGTTATATAATAATAAGTTATATTTATTACTAGCATAAGATTATTTAAAATTAAAGGATCATTTAATTGTTCATTATCCTAATTTTATGAAGAAAGCAGGACCTGTGTGTCAATTTTCATACTTCAAATTTGAAGCAAAACATAAGTTTTTAGAAAAGGCGGCTTCTGCAAGTGTTGATGTAAGAAAAATACAGCTTATACAATTGTTGTAAAGCACCAATTGCACATGTGTTACAGATTTTTCTTCTATTATTCAAACTTTTTCAACTGGACCTATAAAAACATAAATCAATTGATAAAGATTCAGATTTTAGCTTTTTTACCTGATAATATTTAAAAAATTGTCATTTAACAATTTGTAAATTAATTAATTATAAAGGAACTCGTTTTTATTAGAATTTAATTGTTATTATTAACGAAAGTGAATTTGGGCCATTATTTCAATTGGTTCAATTGGTGCTATAATTGTATATGAGCCCACAGTGATATTCTAATGTGAGAGTTTAGTTACTATAGGATTTAATGAATATATTCGTGGTTACGAAGTAAGATTTTCAGGATCAAAAAGAAACATTAATATAAATGATCTTTATGATCCATTTCCATTGAATTTAAACGCAAACGTGTATAATGAAAAATATGTTATTATGCGTTACGCACTTTAAGTTCTTTTTCATATTAGGTATATATATACCTTATATATATATACCTAAGGGTGGCCCACGTAAAGTGTTACAAGTCCATAACTTTAAAAATATTTATCAAATAAAAAAATTGTTCATAAAGAAGTTTTATGTATTCGAGAGGCCTCTCTAACTACATAAACGTAAAGTCGCCCCCGCTTCTTTTTTAAGAGGGGACGAGCGTAACTTCATAATTTTAAATGTAATCTTTTATAAAATGTTGCATATTTGGATTCTACGGGAAAAACAAATAAATTTTTTCTGAAACATTTGTTTGGAAAATGCTTCTATCAAAAGTTATAAGCATTTAAACCTTTAGCGATTTCATTCAGGATTGAACTCCATTGACACAAAGTTGCGTTCGCGATACAACAAAAACAAAAAAGATCTTAGAGTACATACTTCATGTTAACCAAAAGAAATATAAACAAACACATTTATTCGAAAACGTAAATATACACAGACCCGTTTCCTGATAAATGTGTTTATTTATGTTTCTTTTGCTAACATTAAATATGTACTCTAAGGTCTTTTTTGGTTTTGTTGTATCGCGAACGCAACTTTGTATCAATGGAGTTCAATCATGAATGAAATCGCTAAAGGTTTAAATGCTTATAACTTTTGACAGAAGCATTTTCCAAACAAATGTTTTAGATAAAATTTATTTGTTTTTCCCGTAGAATCCAAATATGTGACATTTTATAGGAGGTTCCATTTAAAATTATGAAGTTACCCCCATCCCTCCGTAAGGGGAGAGCCTACTTTAGAGCGCAGAGAACGGTGATTTTTGCCAATTTTTTTCTCAATAACAATAAAGTATCTTTAAATAACAATAAAGGATCTTTCCAAAACTTTACGGGTGTTTGAGTCGATATTTAGATAATACAAAAAATTTTTGTCTTCAGACATAATGCTTTTGATATCGGTATATGTCAATATCTTCGCAGCGCCGCGCCGCCGGCATCGTCAATTTGTGTACACGATAGCGGATCCAATTCTTGCCTGAAACATAATAATCAAAGTTTCTTTTAATCTTCATGGAATAATATCGTCAATGAACTAATAAAAATTAGATAAAAGTATAGAATTACAAAAGTGTAGGACTTTAAAGAAAAAGTTACGATTTTGACGGAAAAATTCCGACTTATTTCTGTAAAAAAAAATTGTTTAATGTAAGTTTTGTATAAATGTTTTTAATTCATCGACGATGGTTGGTCATCAGTTAACTCTAAAAATCTCGAGAGACGTCGGTCGGTCAAATAAATTTTTCTCTATCGTGTACACAAGTTTCAAAGAAGTGATGTTGAGAAAAACGCGTTTAAAGTTTTCGATGCGAAAAAATAATAGTTATTGAATACTTACAACAGTTATAGACTAATCTGCTATACCAGGCCCATACAGCAAGTCTTCCCCTTCCTCATTAAATTCTTGCAGTTGCTGTTGAAGGAGTCTACGAGCTGTTCGAGCCTCTTTCGTGCTGCTTGATCTGCGGCGCTCTTGCCTCGTCACTCGCTGCGCGTCATAATTATTGGCGAAAAATATGCATTGCTATCCGATATTAATGTTGAGCAAAGTCATCATTTTTAAAATGGACGAGTATCCTTCATTAAAAACACTCGCAGCAATGAAGACGGCGATTTCTACAATTTTTATGCCTGAATGTAAATGTTTCGGAGCTAGGCGCCAGACAGTAGAATTTAAACTCTCGTTGGAGTTTTGTGTGTGTCCGCCTAAACACCTCGTCAGAAGATCTTCCTTCGAAAGGTCGACAAATAGGAATTAAACATTTTATGACCTCTGGGTGTAGTGAAGGGGGATGGTCGAAATCTTTTTCTTTCCCTGCCGCCTCAGCCTTGCGCCGCTTGCACCAGCTGTCGGGCCCGGACATTGGACAATTGCCGTGTCTCGGATTTTCATTAGTGGAGCATAAATAATCAAGTGTTGCCATTACAGCTGTTTTCATTTCGGCAACAGAATAAACATTTCGCCTTATTGCCAAAATTGTTCAAAAATGTCTGGCGTATAGCGGATTGTCTCGCAACCTGCAGTGATACGGTCACAAAGATCTTGAATATCACGCACTGTTGTTGTAGCATATACGATTACAATAAACCTTGTTTCATGCACGATCTACAGAATTGAATTGAAATGTGATGACAATATTCTGTCGATTTCAAAGGCGCAACCACTGCTATTGTCTAGGTGTAAACAAGTAACCGTAACATTAAAGGTTAATATTATTCTGATTAGTGTTTACGAATAAGGCACAGTTTACCAGAGATGGGCATTTTTTAACGTGTCCGTGAATCAATGCATCGACGTGTCACTGCTTGTATTCAGGCGAACGGCGAACATTTTCAACATTTATTGTAACTAACTCAAGGTCACA